TATTCTTAGGGTCTCTGCATGCACCCTCATTTTGAGCGAGTCCGAAGTTCGGGCTCTTCTCTTAAGGTGTAGGAATTTGAGGTGTTGGGGCATTGGTGTCTTGGCCTCAGAAAAGACGATAGGGAAGACGATCCACTAAGAGAGTACGTACAGTGCATCATGCACGGACTTGAACACAAGCCTATTCAGGGTGTTGAAGCGCCCTATAGCAGCAGTCATATCATGTGAGGAGTTTTTATGTGCCTAATTTCTAAGCCGAACCAGAGCTCAGCAGAAAAGATGCTAGAGAGAACAATGCAGCTCAGCGAATGAAGGGCAGGCAGCCTGCCAAGAACGAGTACCTGTCATTATGATAAGTAAGTACGAGCCTCCTTCTGCAGCAGGTTCATCCGTTGCAGAGCGTCGGCCAGCAAAGACCTCATTCATACCATTACTCTTCTTGTCTCGCAAGTTTACCATCATGGCTCTTCCTCCGTCATTCTGCACTGATTCCTACTAAACTGCGAACTAAACGTACGAGTGTGACATTCTCTTGTTGATCATCTATCGTGCGTGCTCTGTCTCTTCGAACCTCAACTATGGTTCCCGGGGAAGCTCAGAAGGGACTTGGTTCAGGAGGCCCGCTCCATCTAGCAATCAAGTTGTACACGGATCGGGATCAGCAAAACGACATAGGTTCAATCCAGATTGGCCAGTTAGTGCCTGCTCCATATGTTCCATATGGGGATGAGTCTCTTGCAACCACCTCCAGATCACTTCGCAGCGTGCCTCAGGAAAGAGGTCTGCAGATGTCTGCAACAGTCAGCAGGCAGAAATGCCGCAGAAGGTTCAACAGCCTAGCTTCAACGTCCTCCTGCTCCACAATCTATGCCTCCAGCATCTGACAGACCTACCCCGAAACCTTCAAGCTCTTAACATATGGCTTCTTTGTTGAGCCTCTGGGGCCCCCAACACCAGATCCTGCTCATCCGGGAACGTGAGTTGAACCGGGGATGGCGACGAACGCAGCGATGAACGCAGCGATGAACGCAGGGATCGTACCACGTGCTCGCGGTCTTGGATCTCTGGTGGCGCTTCCTCAAAGGATAGTGGCCCTACTAGCCTGCCAGCAGGACTGTGCGAAAAAGAACAGGGATTGGAAAACCTGGCAAACTCGCCAGGGTTACGTACAGGATCAGGGCCCCTGTACTGCTCAGACGTCCAGAGTTTCTGCCAATTTGTTCGAAGAAGACTGGCTGAAGTATCACCCTAACACAGCAGTGCTGCGCGTCTACAAATACACGCACTTCAAACGGGGCCGGGCTTTTCATGGAGTCACAGAGGAGCTGCCTCTGGGCCTATGGGGAAGTAAGCAGGCATCCTTTAACGTGTTCCAGATTCGTGAAGCTGTAAGTTGGGTATCCAGTAGCACGCGGCTGCTGGTCTTTCTACATGCAACAGCAGGTCCTCGTCGGAAGAGAAGAAACTCTGAGGAGATGGGAATCCTTTGCTCCCACCTGTTCAGTTGATGCAAGGGCACAAGGACTGCATGATAAAAGCGGCTAGCCAGAAAGCACTTGTCATTCTCTGGCTACAGTGCCATACCAACTGCATGTGGCTCCTGACTAGGTATACTATACCCTTCAAGACGCATTCATCAAGCCAATTGTCTGCTCGGCTGGCCTTCTGCAATTTGAAGACAGTCCGGGCGGTCAGACGAAAAGTTGGATCCAAGAGAGGCCTCAGGTACACCATCTGAAAAAGATCTGACAATGTACATCCCATCCGAAAATGCATGATAACAGTAAATAACAATAGTAACAGTACTAACAACAATAACAATACGAACAATAATAACAACAGTAACCATAATAACAATAGTAACAATATCTTCAGCAGCAGCAGCAGCAGCAGCAGCAGCAGCAAAGGCCCTGGCCGTTGGGGTGTGGCTCAGATCCTGAGTCGCGCAGCATACCGCCAGCATGAGTGATGGGAGGACGTGACGCCATCTTCTGCAACGCCAGATTCAAGCAGCTTTTCAAGGAACCCTGACACCACCCCAAAGTCCATACAAATCCACAGACGCAACCATGAGATCTACCCGAAAGTCGCTCTGTCCCTGTGAGAAACATCTGAAATCTCAGCCCCTCACAGCGGTGGCTTTCATGAGGAACTCTTGAAACGTGGGTGCAGGGCATTCGCCTTTGGAAGCCAACTGACCAACCCCTCCAAGCCCCTGCACAAGCTTCGTTCCTACTATCCGCTGCACCACAGTCATTTCAGCTCTTGCGATATGCTTGCTTTTAAAGCCAATTTGCCAAGACACCTCCGCCTTCTGAGTCCTGGGCCCAGGGCACCCTCGAGTACCCACAGACAAGCAGAAAGCTCCGCATCGTCTTTCGGATGGAGATCTGGGAATGCTGCTTGACACAGCCGGCTCAGATCCGAAGTCAAATTGGGTTCAACCACAGACTGAGGCCCGTTCAGAATCAGCACGAATGTGAATGCGGTTTGGCTAAAGCACCGTAAACCCAGTTTCTATTTCATTGTCCTTTTTTCCATTTCATTCTCCATTATGATACCTTCCATTTTCTTTTCCATTATCCCCATATCCCCATGTCCCTAAATGTTTACAGGAAGCCTTAAACCCTAAACCTAAACCCCTGTATAACCCCTGTACACTCTCTCTATGGGTGGTTGTCAAAATGATGATCTCTTTTTGGCTCCTTATTATAATACGGCACCTAATATTCAGGGTACCCAAAAATGGACCATAATTTTGACAACCACCCATATGAATCAGCAGAGTCTGAGGCCGCAGCTCAAGTGGGACAATCCTTCCGCAAGCTCCTCCGCCGAAGGAAGGACGGTCACCTTATCAGGGATTTCTAGTGTTTAGGGGTTTTCGGGTGCACCTAGCAACTATATGCGTGGTTGTCAAAATTATGGTCCCTTTTTGGGTACCCTAAATATTAGGGGCCGTATTATAATAGGGATCCAAAAAGGGACCATCATTTTGACAACCACCCATATGAGGGTTTTGAATATTCTCAAGTACATTGGCGTTGAGTTGATTGAGGTCCTGCGAGTTGGTAGGAGACTAGAAGAGGAATATACTGGAAGTATATTGGGACTAGATAAGGATAATGGAAGATGGAAACTACTATATATTTGGGAATGCTTTGAATCTGCATTTGGGATAACATTGGGGACCTTATGATATGGGTTGACATGGGGGATCTAATTATTGATCCTTCCCAGGGTCTGCAGTAAGGTCTAGTGGCGTTGGTTGGGCAGTGCATTAAAAACTGAGACAAAGACCACGCCGGCCGTTGCAAGGCCGATGATGTTTTCATAGATTAACTGCAGCCTGCCAGTTCCAAAACTTGAGCCTTGCCAGTGATGATACTTAAGATCTATTATTACTGCTATTATTACTACTGTTCTTATTTCTAGTAGTCTTACCATTATAATTGCCTACTTCATTATTATTATCATTACCATCATTATTGCTGGTTTCATTCCTATTAGTATTATGAACTGGGTGACCGCTTGCCTTTCCGCATCCTCCAGCGTGCCCATGCCAATGGGTCAAGGCCAGAAACGAGAGATGCAGCGCTGCGGAAGTAGCCTTGTAAACGCTTGTAAACGCCCTCAACTGAAGACCTGGCACTTATGTAATCATGTGGCTTGAAGGTGTCCAGCTACGGTCATGTTAGGCCTTCACAGATAAAATTCATGTCGCACGGGCTCACTTGCCTGATTTCAGCAGATTGTGTCTCCACACCGGATCATTTGAAAACGCAGCTGCCATGAGTCGATCATAAGTTTCTACAATTGAAAATCGTCCGCGGAAAATCAGTACTACGAACATCTTGCTGGCCTCTGCAGCACATGAAGCAAGCCTTCCAACAGTTGCTGTTCCAGTAGCGCACTCTGAGCGCATTAGAATTGCATGTTTGATGTACCACGCCAACAGGTTTTCAACAAGCCTGCTACATTCTAGCCGGCTTAGGAGGCAGCAAGGATGCCAAGTGCTTTGCACTTTAGCCAGTCATTCGCCCTCTGGAGGGCTCCGAGCTGAGAGAAACAATCATGCGCATCGCGCGCCTGCACGAGTCTCGCGTTGACTCCTTGCCTTAGCCCCTGCTGCTCAAGTAATCTCCTGGAATCTAACACCCTTTTGCATTCGAAGCCGGCGCTCGTACATCAAGTATCTACAATTTCAGTGATACAACTGCAGAGCCATCTTCTGGGCTCCGCCTGATGCATCAATGGCTGCAAGAGCGCCCTTCATTTGGCCTGCGCAGGGGCATTCAAGTTTCCAATGGCAGTATCCTGAGGGCTACGGTGAAGAAGAAATTTTTGTATTGACATCTACTACTTCTTCTGCTACTACTGCTGCCACCACCACCGCCGTCACCTTCCACCATTCGCCACCGCCGCCACCATCACCGTACCCCCGCCACCCCCGCCACCCTCGCCACCATCACCACCACCAACACCGCGCTTATGTTTGTCAGGAACATTCTGACCCGCTCTACCATTACGACTGGGAAACACCTTCTCAGCCGCAGGCCTTGAAACCAAGAGCACGAAGAATTCGGCCGCCGTTGCCCTGGCAGGATTTCAGGTTCGGGGATCTTAGGATTTAGGTTTGCCCTGGTCAAGTTAGGCTCCAGGATTTCGGCTTGACGGTTCGAAGTTCTAGCGCTGTTTTCAGGTAGTTTCTGGTTGGATGGGATGATGGGCAGGAAGCCTGACTTGTATAGACCATATATCAGCAGCCACTTTGCTTATTCTTATCTCAGCTCATGGCTCTTGCTTTCCACGTGCCCAAAACATAAGACTGACCTCCTAATCCAATCCGAAGTCGCATCTAGGCTGAGGCGCTCTAAACTCCAAGTCGCCCCTTGGGGTTCCTCCTGGTTCCTCCAGTATGTCGGTGGTCGAGTTATGCTGGCGTTACCGATAAGTTTTTGGGTGCTCCTATTCCAGCCGAACATCCCAGTTCGCCGCTCCTGGTGCTCGAGGAGCTTCATTGACACAATCTTAGCAAGCGAGCAGCTTGCTGGCTGCCATCTAGTGATTCACCAACTACTGCAAGTGACATGAGCAATGGCCTCCAAACAGGGGGCACCGGACTTTCTGAGTGAGCTGCGTACCAGAAGGTCTCGAGCCATGGCACAACGAAGTGCTCATTTAAGAGGTCACCACTGGGAGCTACACAGAGGTAGAAGCCCCAAACCTTTGTGCAAGGACTGGCGAGAAGGATTAGGATGATTCTGGCAACACTCAGAAAGGTACGGAGCAGATGACACCCCAGTACCTCAGCACGTGCTGCATGCATCATGCCGCAGACAAGTGCACAACACAATTATAGCAGTTTCCATTTTCTTTTCCACTATCTCTATATATCCCCTATATAACCCCAATATATACCCCAATATATACACTATTGTACCACCCTAGCTTCCGTTTTCTTTTCCATTATCCCTATATAGCCCATTATAGGGGTTTGAATGTTCTTTCCCGTTATCCCTGCAGAACCCTAATCAAAGACTCCGGCTGAGGATCATTGATGCCTATGTTGTAGGGAAATGCTGTGGCCCATGGCCTTAGCTTGGCATGCCAAAGTCTTCTTTTGCGCTTCCCTCAAGGCAAGTCCTCAGGACGCTGACACCTCGTAGCCGAGCTGAGATCCATAGTAGACCTGAGGGGGTTTCCCAATACTGGGGATACCAATTTGCAGGTCCGCAGAATAAGGACGACAAGATTTCGGGGGTCTATATTGGAGTCCCTTATTTTGGGAAAGTACCACCTGCTTTTGCGGGCTCAAGCGCGCACACTCACCCCTTCGTTTGGCAGAAGATTTTCGGGAAGGCCACAGCATGAAATCAGTGGTACAGGTAACCCACACTGGAAATAGCACAAACCCTAAACCCTGAACCCTAAGCAATAAAGCCTAAGCCCTACCCGAAGCCCTACACCCTAAGCCCTAAACCCTAAGCCCTAAACCCTAAACTCTAAACAGCTGCCACAGGTGCTTACCCAGCTGGCCAAAATAGTGGCAGAAATAATGAACATAGCTCCAGGCTCCCGACTCCCTAGTATAACCCTAATATAACCCCAACATAACCCCAATATGACCCCAATATGACCCCAATATAACCCCAATATCACCCTAACACAACCCCAATATAACCCCAATATGACCCTATAGCTCCAGGCTCCCGACTCCCTTTGCACCAATCGTTTTGAAGGTCGCTGAGTTCAGCAACTGACCGAGCCCCACCAGAGCAAGGCCTGGGCCTGGGGATTAGGGTTCAGGGTTATATGGAAAATAGAATGGAAACTACTACAATGGGTTATATAGGGGATTATAAGGTATATATTGGGGTTATGTATGGCTTTTATAGGGTTAATGGAAAATAGAATGGAAACTACTATATTTATTAGGGATTATATAGGGGACTAGGGTTTAGGTGCTTAGGGTTTAGGGTTTAGGGTTAAAGGTTTGGGGTAGTTTAGGGTTTAAGATTTAGGGTTTAGGGGTGAAGGTTTAGGGGAGAGCATGGAAGCCCGAAGATTCAGGATAGAGAACTGGGGTTGTACAATAGAGGTTGGGGTTGAGCCCGCCGATGATTCCCCCCCGTCTTGTAAACCCACCCCCTTAAACAAACGGACTTGTCCGAAGTGATAACCCCCTTATGTTGAGGATTTTCCTATGGAAAAAACATTTTTTAAGAGTTCCAATTTTGGAAAATAGAAATGGAAAATTCAAATAACAACCCACGCGCAGGAAAAAATGAAACATGTATGGCGCTCTATGAGAGTGCTTAGGGACTATGTTGAGGTAGAATGATAATCAAATGGAAAAGAACATGGAAATTGAAATGGGAACTGATCGTGGTGAAATGATGGAATTCTGTAGAGAGAGATTGGGAATGGATGGTAGTACTGAGGTTAAAGCTATCTACAAGACTTCAGATCCCCTCTGAAGTCATGACGGGCATTCAAGGGAGGAGGCAGCAGAGTTATGGGGCCCACTTGAAATGCCTCAGCTTTCTGCCGGTTGCAAGAAGTGCATGCGTAAGGCATCGGCCATTCTTGCGCAATGTAATTTTGTTGGCCGACTATGTCCCACTAATACTTCTGGCTGACCTTTGAAAAACTTATTCAACTGCACTGCTTGTCAATTACAGGGAGCGGAACACATGATCTCTCTGGTGAAATCCTTAAACTACAGCGCAGCAACCCGAAACCCTAAAACCTAAACCTTCGGATTCGTGGTTTAGGGTTCAGGGTGTAGGGTTCAAGGTTCAGGCTTCAGGGTTCAAGGTTCAGGGTTTACGGTTCAGGCTTTTTCCACCTTAGGGTTTCGGGTTTAGGGTTGTCAGTAGTATAGTAGCATTATCATGTTTATTGTGATTGCAACCACCATGATTAAAATTGTCATTCTTACCATCATTATCTTTCCTACCGTCGTTATCATTGTTATTATCATCATTGCTCTCATGTACCACTGTTGCCACTATTACTCTTATGATTGTCCATACTATCATGCTTACCACTGTTATCACTATTATCCGGAGTATCAATATTATCATTGCTATCATAATTATCATTATTATCATGTGTATTGTGATGACGATCACTTTTGCTAACATCATCGCAATTCTCTTTTTTGTCATTTTAGTGTGATGACTATCACTATTGTTAATATTACCAATATTGGTTGTATATTCTTGATACTGATTATCATGGTTGCTACTACTGCCGCAGTGTTACTGCTACTATGTCAATACTGATGTGGTACTTTCCCAAAATAGGGGAACCCCAATACAGACCCAAAAATACTATAGTCCTTATTATGGGGATCCCCTAAAAAGGATCCCATAATTTTGGGAAACCCCCATGTTTTTCAAGTACGGATTTCCTATGTAGAGCCCCGTATCAACCCCAGTCCTCTCTTACGGCGGAAACATTCTCCCAGGAGTGTTTCTGGGTTGCTGTTAAGGAACTTATATTAAGTTACTATAGTGGGGAAACCCCATTATTTACCATATATACCCATTATGGTAACTTAACTCAAGTTCTTTAACAGCAACCCAGGTTTTTGCCCATCAGAGGTCATGAGCAGGAGCAAATCCACAAATTCCTTTCCCCTGGCATCAGACACACCGACCCTGTACGCTCAATGTTCTCGATTACTAGCTGAGCAACAAGAAGAAACAAATTGAAGCAGGGGCAAGCCGGCGTGTAAAGAATTCAAGGGAAAGGACTATCTAAAACGATACAAGCAACATGGGCCAGCTCTCACTCCCAGCTTGCTGTTGCTGAGCGCAAGCAGCTCACGAAAGATGCCTGTGACATAACTGGCGACAACAAAGATCAGAAAGTTCACTTCTGCAGCTCGGAGGTCCCCACTTGCTTTGGAGGGGATTATATAGGGAACTACTATAGGGGTCCTAAAGGGGGATACTAGGAGTTTAGAATATCATGCAAGGGCCCCATGTGCTTGATATCATGAGAACTTCACAAGCTCTGTCTTAGCCCTGGCCATGGAGAGCTGCCGAGCTGCCTCAATGCACTCCGCATAGATTCCAGAGAGGACATACAGAGTTACCTTACAGCAAGAAAGGCCGAGAACGTTCCAAAATGGAAGAAAGAAATTGAGATGAATTGAGCCGGGTAGCCAGAAAAGTGATGGCAAACATCCACATTGGCAGAACCTGACCAATGAAGTCAGCAATGCGATGGCGCCAAGCACGCATGTAGAGGCCGTATGTGCTTGCTAAGACATGCTCAAAAAGGTCTGCCAGGCCTCGTTCATGCCAGCTATCCAGACTATCCTCAGGCAGGGAAATGTCATCTGCAATCGGTTTAGGGTTCTATTGGGGATAATGGAAAATAAAATGGAAACTACTATAGTATATTGGGGCTTATATGGGGATAATGGAAAAGAAAATGGAAACCCCTATAGGAGTTAAAAAGCTACAGGGCCCAACCCCTTGCGCCAGGTGGCTCAAAAGCCGAGAACAGCGGCTGCTGAAACAAGAAGACCTGCGGACCAGCGCTGCAGTAGGTGAAGGCAGATCGTCAGGTCATTCACCCAAGATCCCAAACCGACGTACATCATGCAGTGGGATCATATAGGGTAGTATAGGGCTATATAGGGATAATGGAAAAGAAAATGGAAGCACCCAATAATGTAATATATTATACTAGTCAGCCTAAACCCTAAACCCCCAAAACTCAGCCTGCCTCAAAGCTATACTTCCCCACAAAAGCCAGGGGAGGCGCTGCCAGGATGCAGGATAAGATCCCTGGCAAGGCGCACGGCTCGGGCTCTGAAGCTGCAGATTTCTTGAGTTTAGGGTCTCTTTTTTTTGGTTTGTACACTTCTGGGTTTAGGGTTTACCTACACCCTGCAATGTAGTTCCTTTTTGGGTTTGGTCTGGCTTTTTGGTTAGGACTCTTATTAGTACTACCAAAAAGGTACTACATTGGAGGGTCTAGGTAAGGTTTAGGGTTTAGGGTTTGGGGTTTAGGGTTTGATATATGGGGGGAGGTGGGGGTTCCTAAAATTAGGTGTACCATTTTGGGGGATCCCTATAATGAGGATTATTGTGTATTAAAGTCTATATCGGGGTCCCTTTATATTGGGAAACTACCATTTCTTGTGGTTGTTTCAAATGAGATTCGGTTCACATCAAGTGGTCAGAGGGAAATGACCCAGCAATTAAGTGGCAACTAACTTTCGGGAATTCCTAGCAAAAAGATTTTTGTCATTGGAGGAGTCACCGGATGGTTTCCACAAGGAACATGTTTTAAACCCTGAATGAATCTAAATTGACCTGATTAAGCTGATTTAGCCTCTGGCCTTTGAGCCGACCTCAAGACCCCCAGAGATGAAATCCCGGCCTAAATGAGGTATAGTCTAAACTCCTTAAATTGGGGTTATATAAGGGATGCTAACGGGGATACCAGGAGTTTGGACTACAACTCAAATAACAAACAGGAGTCGAGCCCTGCTGAGGTAACATCGGTACGCAAGTTTGCAGAGGCTTTAGCAAGAAGAGAAAGAGACAAGACAACAATAAACACACTCCATGTGAGCGGCGCCGAAAACCTAGAGGCCAGCCTCCCACCCAATTTCACGCGTTATTGCTTATGGCTTACTCTTTACGTTCTCCATCAAACAACAAATTTAACTTCGTCAGCTGTTCTTTGCTCTTATCGTTTCCCATGATCTGGCACACCCGATGAAGTGTTTCAGTTTTTACTTAAACCGTAATGACCCGGGAACCCTAAACCCTAAACCCTTTTAGTGACTCTAGTATCCTCGACTCCAAGTCCTAAAGCCGCAAAACCCCAAGCCCAAAGCCCTAAGGTCAATCATTCTCCAGCCCACTGAAACCATCATATAACCACTATAAAACCCCTATGCACCCCTATATATCCCTAAACCCTGAACCAGCCTGTATATACCCTAACCCTATACGTCCCTAAATCCTAAACCCTATTTATCCCTAAACACCATACCCCGAACCCTACGCATCCCTAAACCTACCTAAACCCTAGACACTAAACCCTATATATCCCTAAACCCTAGAACCCTACACCCTGAACCCTAAACCCTAAACCCACCGACCCGTGGCCTGAGCCCTGGCTTGCAGAGGAGCCATAGAAGAACAGGGCCAGCAAAGGGCCCAAACCATGATTGAAGAGGGGCTCCCACCCCTGCAGAGCTTTAGGTAGGTTGTAGATTTTAGGGTTTCAGGGTTTTAGGGCTTAGGTTTGTTGTTTACAGCTCCTTTTCCAGTTTTCAGGGTTCAGGGCGAAGGGTTGAAGGTTTAGGGCTTAGGGTTGAGGGTTCAGGGTTTAGATGAAATACATGGAATCCATGGTCGCTTGTGCAAAACATGGAGGGCAAAAAGGAAAAATACGTTGCGCAAAGAAGTGGGAAACATAACTGCTTATGAGCAACAACAAAACTTCGAGTGTTGCAAAGTCCCTAAACCCTAAACCCTAAACCCTAACGCATCGTCTTTTCTGAACTTAGCATTTCGTCTGTCAGAAGAATGACAATAGGCACGTTCATCACTCAATCCCAGACTTTCCGGCAAGCAGGGCCTCATGGTAGCCCGAACTTGGCACTAGCAACCTTAGTCGTTACAACACTAGGTTGCTGTTAAGGAACTTAATGTCAGTTATATACCATATTGGGGAAACCGTATTAATTACTCTATATGTACATATACACCCACATTATGGTAACCCTAAACCCTAAACCCTATATGCCCATA